CATTGCCAAATCGGGGTCATCAAGCCCGCCGAGCTCTTCCTTGGCTGTTGATCTACATTGACTTTTGCGCCGACCTGCTCCATCACGTCGCCTCTCATAAGTCATAACTGGACTAGCGCACTGCCGTCGGCTGTATCTTCATCTCCTGAGCTCCGCGCTATTCTCCGTCCTGACGACTAGCCACCGTCTTCGCCATGGGGACCCCGCCACTGCCCAGGGAGCGTTGTCTCATCCTCGGATCCACGCCATCTCTCTTGACCAGCCGAGCGCACCGTCATCAGGCTACATCTCCATCCCTCAAGCTCCGCGCCGTTCTCCATCCCAACGACCGCTCGCCGTTTTCGTCGTGGGGTCCCCTCCCCTCCCACCGTCTAGGGAGAACCATCTCCTCGGATCCATGCCCGGGCCTCCACCCTCGTCAGCTCTGTTGACACAGTGATAAAAGTGGAGAAAGTGTGTGGAATAGAGAAGGAGAGGAAGAGAGAGGGGGAGTATGACAAGTGGGTCCCCACTTTATTTTTTAATTTTTTTTTCTGATGACTAGTATGAGACGTGAATGCCAACGCTCTCAATACTGTCCTAGGAGTAAAATTGCACCGTTTTAAAATAGTTGGAGGGGTTTTCAAAATATCCGGTATCGCGGTTGAGTGACATACGAATTGAATTTTACCCATAATTGAGGGGCCCGACTTATTCCCGCACGTGGCCGTAATGTTGGTCCGTCAGTTACACTGGGCCTCTCTGCTGTGTTTCGGGGTCGCGAGGGCCGTCGATGGACGGCCCAGTAGGCCAGTGCTGAAGGCCCACACAGTTTCCCCGATTCCCCACCCGTCACGGCGCCGTCTGCAGTAAACGGCAAAGTCCTCCCCTCCGTCTCCGTGTCCGTCGACACGCCGCCACCGCCACGGGGGTTGGGGATTTCTTTCCCCTCCTCCAAGCCAAGCCGGACGCGGACGCCACCGCCCTCGCCTTCACCTCCATTTATACCTCCGGCGAGCGCCGCGGCGGCGGCGACGCACGCATCCTTCCTTCCTCCTCCCGCACCACCGGCGACCGGTAAAACGGAGAGACCCGTGGGCGAGCTTGTTCGAGGCGGGGCACCACCACCATGTCGGCCCCCGCGGCGGTGGAGCAGCGGCTGCAGGCGCTGCGGCAGAAGCTGGGGAGGAAGCAGCACTTCGAGGAGGCCGTCGCCGACCTCGCCGCCGCGGTCCGGGACCACCACGCCGCCGCCTCCCCCGCCCTCCGCGATCTGGTAAATGAGGCCGACCTCCCCTAGCCAGCGCCCCCCCCCCCCCTCTCTCACCTCACGTTACTTCCCGATTTCCTTTCGTTGCGGCCTGGGTTAGGTCCAACGTCGCCGCCGCTGTGGTAATGATGAATCTAGGTTCGATTGGTCCGGTAATGGAGTAGAATTCTTACTCTAAAGTCATCATCAATGGGCAGAAGAAATTAAAATGATCTTCTCTGGGATTGTTAATCCTATTAAAATGATCTTCTCTGGGATTGTTAATCCTATGAAAATGATCTTCTCTGGGATTGTTAGTCCTGTCGTGTCAGTAAGGAACACGTCCTTAGAATAACTCATCTCATCCCAACGAAATTGTTCCTTTTCTTTTCTCCAAGTAGCTTGATATCTAAATTTATAACAAGAGGCTAAACGTTACAAGTAAATACCAATCAAAATGCAGTGAAATCAGTACGTACCCATCAAAATTTACATATTCTTCAAGCTAGCATGGAGCATGGTTAAATTCAAAGCAAGCAATAAAAAGAATCTGCCGGAGTAGTAGTTTATTATAATCCAATGAATCGGCTTGGTAAGATGTGACGTTAACGTTAACATCGCCCAATTCACGGGAATCAAGAAACCGAAATAACGATCACCATGAACGATTGGAATTATTTGTAGACAGAAGTAGCGATGAGTGACAGAGTAATCTGGCTCAGGTGTTTCCTGTGGCTTTATGCACACTCAATCGAGCAAATGAGGAATGACATACATGGACAGAACTATGCTAACAAAAGTGATTTCCTTGGATAATACTAATCCTTTTGTTTCATTATCTTCTGATGAAGTAATCCTGTTAATGTAAAAACTTCTGATTTTTTTAAGTTAAGGTTAACTTCTGATGCTGATGCTTTTTTAGTTAAGGTCGTCCTCAGGGATTCCATTTTTGTGTACCAGTATACCACACCCCTACAATCAGTTGTTTGGATTAGCATTCTTTTCCATACTCTACCTTCATTAATATCATCCATCATATCGACATATATAATGCTCATTTAGCACAATCTTTTGTTCTTTGGCAGATGTATTCTACAGTTTGCCGTGTGGCAACTGTCCTTCAGACTAGATATACAGCACCTGGATTCTGGCGTGCTGGTCTGAACCTCTTCTTAGGTACAGAGAAGCTGGTAACTAATCCTTCAGAAAAGGAGCAACTGAAGACTTTCATTCTGAGGGCCCGGGAGCATCTTGATGAGAAAGAGAACGAGGAATCCATGCCAAACAACAGGGAAACAGGTATGTCATTAATAATTGAATAGGATGATGTGACATTCATAGACACATCTGCATACTTAGATTGGCTATACTCTAATGATTATTCTGGAGGCAACCTGTGATGCATATGCAATTAAATTTATTTCTTGGTGAAATTGATAAACATAGGAGTTCTTCAAGTACATATTTGTCTGCAGTGTATTTTGGTGAAATAAACTTTCCTTAAAATATTCACCCTTATAAATATCTATTTGCTAAGAAGATGTAAACTTTTTTTTCCAGATACAAGATTTCTTTTTGAAGGGCATCTTACAGTGGGACCTGAACCTCCACCTCCTGCCTGGCTTGTTGCCCAGAATTTAGCACGAGAACTTAGCATTTTAGCTGAACCTTCTGGAGATCAAGGTGCGAACAACAACGGAGAGTCCAGGGCTGAGGAGATGGCACCTGCTGCTGCTATAATGAATTTCTTAAACACCATGACAGTGGATGGAGACCTAGAAGCCGCTTTGGAAGAATCTCTGCAGGTAAGAAAGAACAATTCTTGAGAGAATCAATTTATTTGGTATACTTATTTCATTATTTTTTCAGCCCTGAACTTCTATGTTAGTTTCTTGTTGCACTTTTGCACACTGCAAACTGGAGTAGTATCCAAACTGTGCACAACCATAGGCTTTTGGCCCATGTTAGGTGCTATAGAGAAACAAGCAAATTTGATAAATTTGTTGAATGTCTTGATCAGTGGTTTGTAAAATGATTTTTCAATTACTAGTCTGCTGCGCATTCAAGTGCTGATCAAGTTGCTAAAAGTGGAGCTCATCATGCTTTGATGCATGCCAAATTTCTTCATGTTATTATGTTATTGCAATTATCAACTTGGTTTAGACCCACATTCTCAAATTTATATAAGCTTGTCACTTGCTACAACGAGAAGGATATACTTGTATCTCTTATGATTGTCTAGTAACCACCACTGAAATTCTTCGAAAATGGAAAGCCCGCATTTCATCATTTTGTCATTCAGTTCAATAGGGTAACAAGATTTGCATATTGTTATGGATCTTGAATTTGGAACTACTATTTTCAGAATGTGATGGCGAATCCTAAGGTGCCTCCAGCTTCAAAGGAAGTCGTTGCGAATCTACCAGTTGTAACCGTGACAGAAGAAATCATAGCTAGATTGGGCAAAGAGACTCAGTGTGCTGTTTGCCGGGAGAGCTTGCTGGTGGACGACAAGATGCAGGAGCTACCGTGCAAGCATCTTTTCCACCCTCCATGCCTCAAGCCATGGCTGGTAATGTCCACATAACCCCTTTGAATCATCTGAAAGTAGCCTCGACGCATCGTTACAACTCGGTGTAGCTGAACATTATACCCATCATGGTTGTGTTGTGTTGCACGCAGGACGAGAACAACTCCTGCCCGATCTGCCGGCACGAGCTGAGGACGGACGACCATGTGTACGAGAGCCGGAAGGAGCGGGAGCGAGAAGAGGAGGAAGACAGGAAGGGCGCCGCGAATGCTGTCAGGGGTGGGGAGTTCATGTATGTCTGAACATCTGAATTTCAACCGAACGTGATTATCTCTCTGTAACGATTTCCTGAAATTCAGAGTGCACTGGAGTTGAAAATTCATGTACAAACAACGTTTGCTTCGGTTCACCACCGTATCTTCGTTGAATGATACTACCACTATACAGCCAGCTTATTACAGCATCATTGTTCGTTGATGTGCATGTGATGAAGTACTTGAGTTGAGACATTGTTATTCTTTTATTCCCTTTTTACACACAGTATTCAGTCGCGTTAGTCTCCTTCGAATATGGGGGTGGTGAGATAACGGATGACGCTGATGATAACTATTCGATGATACAAATGAATAAACTAAGCATTGTAAAGTTAAATTTTATTTTAACAAGGTTTCCTAAAGAAATAGAGGACTAAGATTTTTTTTAAGAGAGATTGTACCGTCGAGATTGAACAAACGCGAACTATATTACTACTGTAGCCGTTCTACGAGCTTAGTAGCACTCAGAGTTTCCTAAACCGTCGGGACCGGGGTTACCACGCGGTAACCGTGAACCGTTCAAAATTTATCAAAAATTTAAATTATTTTTTAAATTTATTTAAATTTAAAGAGGTTACTGCGGTATTTCTATTACCGTACCTCGGCGATAAGACCGGTAACCATGGTAACCGCATCGTTTATCAGTAATGTAAAACCTGGTAGTAGTAGCCTAGCAGAGTAGGTTGTGTTGGTGGTCACTTGAAAAATTGCGATTCCATGGGCTGATGCCCTTACGTGGGCCCACCACCCACCCCTGACGAGTGGGGCCCACCAGGCAGCGACCCCATCACACGTGAGAAGTCCAGTCCACAGCTCGCTCCATCGCTGCGATTTGCAACACGGCGAGACGGATCAAACGGGCGCCTGCCCCCACGAACTAGACAAGCAGCAGGTCAAGCACCCAACCCAAAATCCCAGAGAAAAACACACAAACAAAAACAACATACAACTGCACACACCCTGCCGATGCAGCGAACGTGTCCAAATAAATTAAAAATCCCCCAATCGATCAATATACGCTGCACCACACCACATACTCAAAAGAAAGAAAAGAAATCCCCCCAATCCCCATTTCCAGCGAAATCTAATCTAATCATCTAAAAATTCCCTTCCCTTCCCTTCCGTCCGAGCCAGAGCAGTAGTAGTAGTAGAAGTAATGAGGAAAAGAAAACGAAAAGCGCCAAGAAAACAACGCACCAACACATCCACAGCAGCAGCAGCAGCAGCAAGCATCATCGGCTCAGGCTTCATCAGGAGAATAGGTTAGATGTGAGAGGAAGGAAAAAAATCCGAGGAAAAGTCTCGAGCCCACCCCCCACATCTCCACTGCTGCAGCTTTGCTTGCTCGAGAGAAAGAAAGAGAGAAAGAAAATAAAATAAAAATCTCTCACAAATCTCTCTCTCGCAGCCGTCAAAATCCAATCTTGGCGCATCCCCGGCCGCCTACTGTTCTCGCCCCCCCTCTCTGGTAATAATTGTCAGGCTGGTGGTTGGTTTGCTGCTGCTAATAATCGAGTCTTTTCCTCCCAAGGAGAGGCGTTCAATTTCTTGGTCAGGATTTGTGGAGGTTTTTCTTGGATTCATTTCGTCATCTCGTCGCGGAGCCAAAGCTTTTGGTTTTTTTTTTTCCTTTGGTTGGTCTTGGCTCGATCGGGATGGATGCGGGGTGGGTTGGGCTCGCGTCCAATTCGCCTCCACCACCACAAGTACGCTTCTTTTTTATTGTTTCCGGAGTGGGGATTGTAGAGAGCTATTTCGGCAATCGCTAGGGCTCCGTGTGTGTTCTCTCTCGCCCACTTTACTCTTTTTTTTTCTATATCATTATTCCCCTTTGCCCTCCAAATCGAATCCTCTCTCCCCTCCTGCGGCGCCGCGGGGAGGGAGCGATCTGGGGAGGGGGAAGCCGTCGATTGACTCGATTCTGTGTCGCGGGGGCTCCGATTCGGCCTCTGAATTGCGCCCTGGTATGTTTGCCCCGCGTCGATTCGTGGGTTCTTGCCGCGGATTTGGTTGGATTTATTTAATTTTGTGTGATTTGTTCTTGCTGTTGTTGTAGGGTTCCATGAGGGCGTGAGGTGAAGTTGGGGAAGAGAGAGAGAGAGAGAGAGAGGGGGGTAGGGTTGCTGCGGCGGCCATGTCGCAAATCCAGAGCTTCTCGCGGCAGAACTGCGTGCTCCTCGCGGTGCTGTGTGGGAAGCACGCTGAGAAGCGTGCCCAGGCGAGGTCGGGGCTGGAGGCGAAGCGGCTGCGGCCGTCGTACCCGTTCCCGGAGCTCAGCTCGTCGGGGAGATTGGAGGTGAGCTAGCATTCTCGGTTGGTGTTGTGGGGGGTGGTGATTTGTTTTGTTGTGCGAGCTGAAAACGAGGGAGATTTTCGAGTGCAGGTGCACACGCTGTTCAACCCGACACCAGAGCAGTTCCTCGAGGCGCAGCGCGTGGTTCAGCCCAACTTCTTGTACATCCAGGGGCAACAGCTTGAGGATGAGAAGGAGATTGGCTCGCTCGTCTGGGGGGACAATGACGTATCTGATCCGCAGGCGTTTAGTTGTCTCATCAGCCCGCCATTTCCGACCATAGTAAGCACAAACCTTTTGTCGAGCGTATGCAATATTTGTACTCTTTAGTTGAAAGAGCAGTAGAGCAACCTTTCCTTTGTCTACTATTAGCTGTTAATGGAAAACCAAAAAAGAAGGCCTCACAACTGCATCATTTCCTAGTTACATGATGGTCTCTGATATGTTCTGGGCACCACATTGTAGTGCCATACCATGGTATGTGAGAATTTGAAAACTTCCTCTGTCCGGGTGGTGCTAACCCTGCTTAACGGTTGTCAATACAGGTTTATCTGGAGGTTCCAATTGGTGAAAAACTTGCTCAAGCAGTTCATTCAAAGGTAGAAGTCTTCCATTTTCCTTTTTCAATATTCCATCTTGTTAATCAACCAAACCTTATAACATCGTTTTGAGACTGTAGTTCGTTCAGAAGTACCAAACGTTTTCCTTTTTTAGTCTGTCTCATTTAGATCATATCTTAACCCTACGACATAGTAGTAGTACAGTGCTAGTAGTTTTTCAACAAATGTCTAGACTCTGTAGGACGAAATTTTTGCTCTATAGATTCTTTTATCTATAAACAAGCACTGAAATGTTGAACAACCAAGTATGCAGTACTATTTTACACATGACACTATTTGGAATTTAGCAGTGGTGATGTTTCATTTCAGGGGATTCCATACGTAATATACTGGAGAAATTCATTTTCATCATATGCAGCATCCCATTTTCGCCATGCATTAATGTCAGTGGTTCAAAGGTACCAGCATCCTTTTCCCTCTCTACCATCATCATCATATGGCAATAACAACTAATAATTTTCTTGTATATGTAGTTCGGTGAGCCATACTTGGGATGCTTTTCAGCTTGCTCATGCATCCTTTCGATTATACTGTGTAAGAAACAACCATGTACAAAGTGTTAAGCTTGGGCCTCGTCTACTAGGGGATGCTCCAAAGATAAATATAACCCCTCCTGAGAATGAGATGGTTGAGGAGGAAGGTTCTTCAGATGTGTTTCCAGCTATAAAAATTTATGATGATGACATCAACATGAAATTTCTTCTTTGTGGAGTTCCTAGCACACCGGTAAGCTTTGGTATTTTATATCCAAATTTCCTTACATCTTATTTCCTCTATTGTACGAATTGGTTTAATGGTGTTGTTAACCTCTTCTCTTCTGCAGGATCCTTGTTTGTTAGGTTCATTAGAAGATGGCCTGAATGCACTTCTGAATATTGAAGTATGGAATAAAGCATTGCAGCTCTACTGTACATTGATTATTTTTTATGGACCATGGAGTAAATTTTACACTATTTCCTGAAGAAAAGATGGAGTATAATGATTCTATGAGCAACCTTTGTTTTAGATACCTTAACTCAAGTTTGAAGAAACTAGGATCTCAGTATGTTAGATACTATTGAAACTGTTCTGTTTTCTTAACATTACAACATTTTGTTTTCTTGTTCAATATTTAGAAAAGGGATGTATTTTGCGTGTTAATTGTTCTGATTAAGGAAAGAGAGGGAGGGAGCGGAAATGTTTTGATGTACTGATGTGGCTCACAACAGCACTATGCATGAAACCACCCTAAATAACACCACACAAATAAAATCTAGATAGACATCTTAGTTTCAGTCTACAAGATGCTAGCAATAAAATGGTGGTTCAATTTTTTACTTGGCACCACCAAATCTCAGACTATGTTGTACACATGCTGGTTCTGAAAATCTGAAGTTAGCAGTCCATCCTTTTCTTGTATTATTTCTTGGTCGAAGGATGCAAACACATAGACTAGCATAGTGATATTTGATGCATCAGGATTTCTTTAGTTATTATCCACCAAGCTTTTATGCAAGTTCTTTCTTCTGTTTGTGTGTTGTTTTTGCAACTTATTGCTCTATCTAACGGTTGATCTTGTTTTTGGCAGATTCGGGGGTGCAAACTTCAGAATCGAATCAGGTACGTTGAATTGTTGTCTGTTCTAGCTGTTTACATACCCGTACCTTTCTGTAGCATACTACCATGTCCATGACTCCTTTAGTTTTGTGCCATCTGTCAAGTTTGATTGTCATGCATAATGCTGTCAAGTTTCTTTTAGGGGTGGACAAACTGTTTCAGAAAATGTGTACTAGTGATCCTTTTTTCCTTTATGTTAGAGCTACTAATAAACTGTAGCTTATACTGTATACAATTTGCCTTATGCATGTTGGAGTTGTCCCAATATTGATTTTCCATCATACTTAAAATACCACTTAACAAATTGTTTTCTCTTCTGCTGCTGAGTATAGTTGATAAGACTTCTTTCATATGTGGCAGTGCTTCTCCACCACCACTTCATGCTGCATCCTTACCACGTGGAATGGTTACAATGCGTTGCGACATCACTACGTGCAGTTCTTCTCATGTGTCACTTCTTGTTTCTGGTAGCGCACAAACTTGTTTTGATGACCAGGTATGAATTTCTGCGAACCTGGATATATAATTCCTGATCTTACATGTACAAAATTATATGGCATCTACCTTTCTGCAGCTTTTGGAAAGCCACATCAAGGATGAGATCATTGAGAAGAGCCAACTAGTCCATGCTCTGCCAAATAATGATGATAAGTTATCATCAAGTGTGCCTTTCACTTCAATGTCCACAGCTTGTGGGGCTTCTACCTTTGAAGTTTGGATGACCCTTCCTAAGTGGGCAGCACAGGTTGGATAACTGTATTGAACACACAAGATATGCTGTGATTAGAAGTGCAGGGTGTGCTTATTTGCTCATATTTTTATTCATTACTTGGCTTCTCTTTATCTTTTTTTTTTCCGATGCACCGACTGAAAGTTCATAATGTTGTGTAATTCTATTGTAAAAGGCTCTTCTCATGCTTTTGCTTTTGATCTCCAAGAACAGTGATTAGTTATGAAAGCAACAAAAGTCTTCAATCTCATTATCTAATCCTCACATGTAAAACATTATTTGTTAATCTTTGACTGACCATCAATATTTTTATCTGAATAATTAGGTTCTGAAGCATTTAGCGCCAGACATCTCATACAGGAGCTTAGTGGCACTTGGAATTGGTTGTATAAATGGCACGCCTGTTGCTTCATTTGATAGGCGAGATGCAGACCGCCTTCTTTTCTTTTGTACAAATCAACACAAAGATTTGGCTATTGAAAATGGCCCATACTTTCATCTGCCAAGATGGTCAGCATCTCTTACCAAGGAAAGAGTGAAGGTGGGTCTGGAATCGAAACCAAATTTGTTAGGTGCGAATGGAATTCCTGAGGACAAGAAACGTCTGATCGAAGGGCCTTCCTCATCTTCCAAGGCAAAATTGAAGCCTGCAACTATGAGGCCCATTCCTCACTCTAGAAAGCAACAAATGCATCCTTTTATGGGTTTCCTGGAAGCTACTGTTCATGAAACTAGTCAGGTTAAGCCAAACTTGCCAGCTGCTCCCCCAGTGAAGCATAATTCGGTACCTGCTGCTCCAGCAACACATAGAAAATCAACTTCAGGGCCATCTCATGCTCAGTCAATCATTCAACTGAACCCACTGCCTCTGAAGAAACATGGATGTGATCGGTTGCCTATTCAGATGTGCTCTGAGGTATGCTTCTTGGGTCTTACATGAGGATGAAGTGCTTCTATACAAGTACATTATCGTGCTAAAATAATGTGTTTAACCTTTTTCTAGGAGGACTTCTTGAAGGATGTCATGCAGTTTTTAATTCAGAGGGGTCATAATCGACTCGTACCTCATGGAGGACTAGCTGAATTTCCTGAGGCCGTCCTTAATGCGAAGCGCCTTGACCTATATAACTTGTACAAAGAGGTAATGCTAAAATTAGCACATTCTGGTTTATGCATAGCAAGGTGATCAGAAGAAGACATTTTCTTTGGCTCGTTTCCTGACGAAGTGTTTGTTTTTTCAGGTGGTGTCTAGGGGTGGCTTTTATGTAGGCAATGGTATAAACTGGAAGGGTCAAGTCTTCTCGAAGATGCGTAACCATACTGTGACAAATAGAATGACCGTATGTATCCACTATTTACTACTGTGACAAATAGAATGCGTAACCTTGAAGGCATTTTCTTATTGGATCTTAACCTGTGCCACTTTTAGCATGCTATAGTTTTGCTGTTATCTTAGTGCCACTAACATATGTCTTTATGCCATTTTGTTCACACTACTTTCACGTATTAAATTTATCATTTCCTTTGTTGGTGAGTCTGGTAAAAGCTACTAACTAATTGATGGACTACTCAGCTTCAGCATCATTGTCTTTCATCTATGTTGAAATATATATACGGAGTAGTAGTTCATTTTGATGTAAATTCATCATAAAGTGCCACCTTATTTATCTCTGCTACTACCTTCAACAAATTCTGTTAAGTGAAATGTTAAATGTTAACTGTACACATTTGTCCTAAAATGTTTAGGGTGTTGGAAACACACTGAAAAGACATTACGAAACATATTTACTGGAATATGAGCTAGCTCATGATGATGTAGACGGGGAATGCTGTTTGCTTTGCCACAGGTTTGAGGACATCCCTTTCTATGCCTCCTTTGGTTCCCCAATTTGCGATTATGGTTTGTCATAATCGAATCTAACACCATCTCCTGTGTAATTCCAGTAGCGCTCCTGGAGATTGGGTGAACTGTGGTTTGTGTGGTGAATGGGCACATTTTGGTTGTGACAGACGACAAGGCCTAGGCACTTTCAAGGTTAGAAAAAAAAAACTTTTAGTTCAGTCCTTTTCTATTGGCCATAGCTTGATCTTATATGAGTCACCTTCTTTACAGGATTATGCAAAGACAGATGGGCTGGAATACATCTGCCCTCACTGTAGTCTAGCAAACTATAAGAAGAAACCTCCTCCCCAAAAGGTAGCTAATGGCTTTGCGAATACAGTGTCTGTATCACGAAATGTTTAGTTTTCCTTTCTTCTTTTTTGCCCTGTGTTTCGGGGAGAAGAGCCCAGTAGAGTAGAGAATAGGCAGGCTGCTGATAGAGAGAGGAAGGTGTGTAGTGTTGTGATCTGTATTACCCTATTAATTTGGTTCAGCGTAGGAAGCTTAAGTTTTATATAGAATGTAACAACTGACAACACAGCTAAGCTACTACGGTAGCTGGTCAAATTAAGTTAAGAGCCTGTTGATATATGTTTTGGTTGTATCTCCTGTTTCTCCTGACACAAGGATTGTGCTTAATTTGCACTCAGGCTTTTTTTGTTGTTGTTGACACTAACTGATAAATAGAGCCTTATTTCATTCTTTAAAATACAATAATTCCGTGATATTGTATTACATCCTCTGATAAAAGTACATTCCAACCATTTAAAAATGTAAACATTTCTGTTTTTGGTTATGCGGAGAGGGAATGGTACTACGTTCGATTTTTTCTCTGGTCTTAGGACAATATTTATTTTTTGGACAAAGTTTATGGTGCTATGCAAGTGCTTTAAACGATTAATTCACATCAGTTTGTTTGTTTTTAAACTAAGTGTTTTAAAATTGATTAATAGTCATATTTATTTTACTATCTGACTAAAGGGAGGGAAGGAGTAGTTCTTTTTTTTCGGAATTAATCCAACCCATTTTAGCCTGTACACACAGTGGACTAAGGTGTAATACAATACAAATAGGACTTGTCCCTCAAGGGGTAGTTGATTACTTGATTATTACAGCCATACAGTACTAGATCGTAGTCTGATAACTCCTTACATCATAGTAACAAACTGATCAAACACTAACACCAATTCCACGAGTTTTGCATATAGGCGCATAACTAAAACGCACTTGCAGTTATAATACGGCACACATGCATGGAGTCCAATGGACCGATGGACATTACACAAACAGGAAGCTAAGCAAGCCAGACGACAAGCAACAGCTCCGCTAGCTGTATCTCCTGTGTAACTCAAGGCATGGCACAGCTGCCGATCTTGTGATCTGCCAAATTCTGTTGCTTCACGAAGCTCAATCGATCAGCCGCGAAACTCGTCCATGAACGCCTCATGGAACGCCTGGAGGCTGGGAACCATCGCCGTGATCGTCTCCTCGCCGGGGAGGATGGTGCACCGGATGTGCGATGTCCCGGAGACCTTTTTGCAGGAGGAGACCAAATCCTAGTCAGGCAAATGCATGCACAGCTTGAGACAAAAAGGAAAAATTCTCTGAAAAAGAGGTGGGTTACTGGGTGAAATCCAGAGCCTGGGACGACGGCGATCCCCGTGGCGTCGAGCAGGCGGTGCGCGTAGAACACGTCGGGGGAGACGCCCTCCAGCTGCGCCGCTTTGATCGCCGCCTGTGGCAGGCGCAGCCGTGGGAAGAGGTACATGGCTCCCTCGAACTTGTTACACGACACGCCTTCCAAACCGTTGAACGCTTTCTGCAAAGCCTACAGGGTAGGTTAAAATTAAATCGACGTGAATATTTTTCTTACATATAAGGAGGACGCACACCGCACTCGCTCTACCCACACACGCCAGGGTTTTAAATTTCTAAATTGCTATTTCTGCCGGGGGGACCGAAATTTCGGAAATTTCGAATTTTTTTGACCGAAATTATTTGAAATTTTGAATGAATTTGAATAAAATTCACAAAAATCTGCAAAAAAACCGAAAATTTTGGGCGAGATATGAGCTTGCCGGTGGGGGTGGGGGGGGATTACCGAAATTTCGGAAATTTCGAAACGAAGTTTCAAACCATGACACACGCGGGTTAATCATGGTGGGAGAAGAGGATTTTTTTTCTAGCACACAAATTCTGGTTTTCGACATTGTGTGATGCAAATTGGATATATCTGATATAAATTTGCTGATATGTGTATTTTGTTCCTGACCTTTGCGCGCTTGAGTAGAGATGAATAAGTCTCTTCCTTCTCGACCATGAAAATCTCAAAAGCCTCATCCCCTAGCTGCAAATCTCACCCACAAGTCAGTTAAAACACAAGTTTGAAGGTGTAAGGTGTAATAAGTTCTCTATGGTTCTCCTATAAACTAAAAAAAACATTCTGTTTCTTAAATTTTATAGGCAAGAGTCAAGGGAGAACTTCACAAGGATAAAAAAGTTCAGCAAACCTCCGTCAAAGTACTTCTATTGTACAACCAGATTGTGAAGATACTAATATGCTAAAGACGAAAATTGTAGCGAAAGCATCTTTTAGGAAACCTTAGGTGGATCCATAACAAGGCTGATAAGGATTTGGCCAGCTATGTTGGGACAAATAGTTAGAGAAGCCAACTTGTACATCTCATCGATCACATCATCTCCAAAACCACAAATCTCCATGTAGCCTCCCCTTCTACCACATTCTCCATAGTATCCTGCAAAATTCAGAAATCAGAAGACAAATTTTTGGAAGATACTCTGGTTGACATGAAGACTTACCCATAGAGACCGAGTGAAATGACACTATAGAGAGGTCATGGTGATCATAACCAAGTGATCTGGCCACCTTTTTGAAGGAATTGAACCTCTTATTCTCTGTATAGACATTTTCTTGGTATACCTGTAAATGCATTTACATCACTAATCTGCAAGACAATTACCTTCGATATAACCGAGTTTTTTTTTTCAACACGATGAATCTAATTTGAAATATCAAACAATCAGCAAGTGTGAACCTCATCAGCAAGAATAACCAACCCTTCTTTCCTACAGAATTCCACAATCTCCTCCTGGTTGGTTATAGACAGTACCTACAACAAGGGTTGCAAATGTGGAACAAGAAACTTCTTTAATGACCTGAATAACAGTTAGATACTTACTAGCATTATGTGGTGCTATATAGGATATAGGTTGCAGTAATTCTCGAGAAATCTTTTGATTTTCCTTCATTATTCTATCAAGTCATGAAACTGTAAGATAAAATAAAAAATATTCAGCACACCTGGCCAGTAGGATTGCCGGGATTTATGACCACCATAGCTCTAATAGTCAAACCCGATGCACGGGCGTCCTCTAAACACCTCTTGACTTCGAAAATCTCAAGCCCCCAAATACTGTCTTCAGTAAGATTATACGGTACCTTCAATTCAATTTAGATCCTTCGTTATTTCTTGCATATAATAACACTTGAACATTCATCCACTTGGAAGTGTTTTTCGGACGTGGAAAAGGTGCATACTCTAACTTATAACCATTGTAATGATGGTGAGTCAAAGAGTTCAAAAAGAGACTGCGAAAAGGCAAAAGGGAAATAAAATAAGAAATAGGGAAGAAACATTAAAAAAAGGAAAAAGAACTGTATAAGGTGAGGTTAGCCCTCCGTGTTTTTTTTTTTTTGGCATGATACTCCAAGTTGTTATTGGAAGTTTGAGATACCATTGGCATATCAATGGACACTTTCTCGAAAAATCCAAATGCTAGCACCGTACCATTGTTCCACCATGAAGAATAATAGAAGCAGAGTATAAGGGATATTCAGGCAGCGGGCACAAAATGCCATCTTCATGGGACCTGATGAGTATTTGCATCATCATGTTGATCTGAAAAAGGAGGGTAATTAAGTTGAAGATATCCAGATAGACCAAGCATCATTCTGTACTAATGGAGCTTGGAAATGCAGAGCATTACTGCTGAACTTGCTCCATCTGTCAGAAAAATGTTATCTGGTTTTGATGGAAAACCATCTCTGGCAGCTATTCCATCAGCAACTGCTTCACGCAAACCTCTGACTCCCTGATATATGTAATAACAAGTGTAATGCACAATGAAAAAGGTTAAAAATCATCCTAGGACAACGCCAAGTAAAAAACTTTTTTTTTGTTATTTGTAAATAAGGAGCATGTATTTACAGTACCTGACTACTAGTATAGGAACCAGAATCTCTGCCTGGAAGTGATTCAATAATCTTCCTGGCTCGTTTTAGCGCACATGGACTGCATTTGTAGATCGAAAGAATGTCAGTCATTTTCTTTTTAGGCCAAAAATTTATTGCCACACAAGAAGTGAAAATAATTTGCAATGCTTGATATATATTCCCTCCGTTTTATATTATGAGACATTTTGACTTTTTTAAAAATCAAACTTCCTTAAGTTTAACCATATCATAGAAAAACATAGCAACATCTACAAACACCAAATTAGTTTCACTAAATCTAGCATTGAATATATTTTGATACTATATCTATATTGTGTTGAAAATGCTATCACATTTTTTTCATAAACTTGGTTAATGTTCTTAAAAAAATGACTTAGAAAAAAAATAAAAATGTCTTACAATATCAAATGGAGAGAGCACATGCTAAGTTTTTTTTAAAACGAATCGGCACCAGACTGTGCCCATTTCATTGAATATAGTGGGAAAAAGACTGTACAAAGCTAAAACTTTGGAAATTTACATAGGGAAAGTAAGGTTATACTGTTTGTCTATTTGGTCCAACCTGAATAATGCACGAGCTTCGTCTCTGTCTATGAGAGATGGATTGTCACACAGAGAAAGAACCTAAACGCAATAATTGGAGCCATCAAGCCATCAAGCAGAAATGTACGTACAATCTGTTGAATCAATTTGGAATGTAGGGAGTTTAAGAATGCTAACCTCGCGAAAGAAATTGATTGGTCGTTGGCCAAGAGCCTGAGGGTTCCCAAGATTGCAGTATATTATCTGCTGGGAAGCAATCAATTTGCACACTTACAAAACATTCATGTACCTATAGTACTACTACATGTATGTGCAGAAACACATTTGTATTGCAAGCTTGAACACACCTCTTGAAAAGGGAGAGAGCCTGGATTTTCGTATATCTCCTTCTCTAACCGCTGGTTGACGCATAGGAGTAGAGTATTAGCAAAAAGAGGATATAAAACAACATATATGCTATTACCTCTGTTTTTTCAATCTCTCTTTTTCTTAAGTATCAAATGGAGTTAACTTTTTTTTCTCAAACTTTAACCGACAGTATTTATTTAAGTAACTCCTTCGATCTGTACTCTGCATGCAACAACCTTCTCAGCATGCATGCAATGGGGTTGGAGGATGGCTAATTGGAATCTGAGATAAATTTAATCTAGCGCTACTTAACGAAAAGACAACTCCTTTGCTCTCTCCCACCTATAGATAGCCATAAGGCCCGCCCAGCCTGGCCCGGCCCAGGCATGGCTAGGCATGACCCACCGGCCATCGGGCCGGCACGGCCCGGTCAGCACTTTGTGCCGGGCCATGCCGGCTCATGGGCTGCACCTCCGGCCCAGGCACGGCCCACCAGTAGTCGGGCCATGCCGTGCCGGCCCGAAGGCACGGGTGGCACATCATGCCTTTTTTTAAATGAATCTATTTTTCTTCCCTCCTCTTTGGGCTGTGACATAAAATAAGTCTATTTTTTCTCCCTCCTCTTTAGGTTGACATATATATAGCTAAAATAACTATATTTTGCGTCCCTATTCTTGAACCGTGGCATATAATATGTCTATTTTTACTCCCTATTCTTTGTGTGTCGGGCCTGGCCTAGGCCTGCCCAACGTGCCGGTGGGGGGGGGGGGGGGGAGGCACGGGCCAAAATGTTGTGCCGTGGGGCGGCCCGTCGGGCCTCAGGCCTTTTGGCCATCTATACTCCCACCATCACTGAAAGGTTATATTTTACTAGTGGTGATGATATGGTACACTTACATGTTGAATTTTAGGAGATAGTGGACATCAACTTATAATAAGATAGGGTATGTAGTGAGCTCATGTTTCAATGTACCAATGTATATATTGTGGAAGGAGTCTTTATGGGAGTCAATAGCATGAGCTATCCATGGAGTAACTAACGACTACCCATAAGAAATAAGAATATCTCTCTCCTTTGCTCCCCTCTTCATCTTTTGTGTTTGATGTTACTTACTACTCCCTCCGTTTTAAAATGTTTAATACCGTTGACTTTTCAGTACGTGTTCGACCATTCGTCTTATTCAAAAAATGTAAGTAATTATGTATTCTTTTCATATCATTTGATTCATTGTTAAATATACTTTCATGTACACATATAGTTTTACATATTTCACAATTTTTTTAATAAGACGAACGGTCAAAGATGTGCTAAAAAGTCAACGGTGTCAAACATTTTGAAACGGAGGGAATACATTTTTATTTGTTAGTGGGTCCCATGATTCCCATCCCATGTTTGTAGCGATAGAAATAGAGATAACTGAAGTCTATTGTGACAGGGCCTAACCGTACCATAAGGACTACTTAACCCGTATACATTGCCCTTATCTTATGATCATAAGTATTGTATAACATACTACAACAAAAATTAACTATTTATGGGTCTCATCTCAAGGTAATTGTAAGCTTCAAACATTGGCTTTGCCCTCAGTGTAGGTTGATGAGATTTATAGTTACCCGTGCGTGGCGGACAATCTCCCCACATGGCTCGTAGGTGAAGATCCTGACCTTCAAGACGAATGAGAATGCGCACATATTTGATCAGTTAATAAAACTCGATCGAGCTAGCCATCGATCGATCGATCGATCGCGAGCTGAGGTTCAGATCGACGGAGGAACGCAACGACGCACGTAGCCACGTACCTTCTGGTTTATGGTCTCTGCGGTGATGGACGGCGAATGGTTGTACGACATGGCGCCGGCGAGACGAGCAAGCGGAGCGTGCGGTGTCGTCGGTGAAGATGAGGAGGAGGAGGAGGAAGCTGCTGCTGCTGCCTGCTGATGCTGCACGGCGCGTTCGTGTGCGTGCGCGTGCGCTGCTAAATGGGCGACGACGCGAGAGCTTCTTGGGCGGTCGCTAGGCAGCGTATGCAGGTGACACGTCCCGGGTAGGGGGGGAACACAGACACACTGGGGCGTCGGACCCGTGTCAATCGATCGCGGGGTGTGTGTGGGCGCGCGTACGTCGTGCCGCGTTGTACGTGTGGCAGACGGAGACGGAGCGCGCCGCGGTGGTTCGGCGCGCGGCGTCAATGTTCGGCGGTGCATGGTGTTCTCTGCTTTCTCATCGATATGATCGGGCTGGCGCCTGAAATTTGAGAAAGCAACTGGATGCATGCTACATCTGTATTTTAATAGATGATGACTATGATATAACTTTTGAGTCCCATCCGTTTCAGAAAAGTGAATTTAGAACCGGATGTGATATATTCTAGTATAACGAATCTAGACATACATATGTCCAGATTCATTGTACTAGTATGTGTCACATATAGTACTAGGTTGGTTTTTTATGGGACGAGAGAGTATGTAATTACAGTTTATTTTGTTGTGAGTTATTTTATCACTAAAAAAACTTTAAACATGATTTATATCTTATTCATTTGCACAAAGTTTCTAAAATAAGACGAATGGTCAAATTATGTGTCCAAAAGTTAATGGCTTCACCTATAAAAAAAAAGAAAATATAAGGGCTCACCAGTCCTCACATTAAAAAAAATAACTATATCATACCCATTAGGACTTCTTTGATTTGGAAAAAATAGCATTATTATTCGTTTATTTAAAGACATATGCCGTTACAATTTGATAGAAATTAAAGATATGCCATACTTATACCTCTTCAATGCATTTATCAAAAAATTTGTACTAAACTATACCCCGGCCTCCTCCTTTCTTCACTCCCTTCTTCCTTCTCCCTCTTTCTAATCTGTCATCTCTTTCATCGGTTCAATCGCCCCTGTCAATGGATTAACCTAACCACGCCGCTGCTAGCTCCGTCGCCGGCGACCGTGGTTTCAACTGAATCTTGGGTAAGAGAGGAGAGAGGGAGAAGGAAGGAGGGGGTAATTTTGTATAATTTTTTTATATAAATGAAATTTAAAGGGTAAGTAGAGCTATATCTTTAATTTATGTCAAATTGTAATGATATATTTTTTATGTTGAATTTTAATTAATCTTGTGTTGGATTCTATGTGGACTCTTTTTCTGTTATTTATTATTTTTAATTCTGAAATTCAGTTATTTCTAAATTATATTATTATGAATCTTATTTTTATTTTTGTAATTCCAAAATTTATTTATTTATTAAAAATTTTAGTTCAACTCATATTGGATTATACATATGGACTCTCTTCTATTATTTCTTATTTTTAATTCCGAATTTTAGTTATTTATAAATTATATTATTATTTAAATCTCATTTTTTTCTTTTTCTAATTTCAGAATTTATTTTATTCTTTATTCTGAGTTTAATTAATCTTTTATTGGGTTTTTTATGTGATGTTCTTTCAATATTTCTTTTTTTCTGAATTTCAATTATTTCTAAATTATTTTTTACTTAATTTTTTCTCTGATTAATATAAGGTGGTGTTTGGATCCAGAGACTTAACTTTAGTATCTGTATTTAAACACTAATTTAGAGTATTAAATATAGACTACTTACAAAATTAATTACATAAATGAAAGCTAATTTGCGAGACAAATTTTTTAAGCCTAATTAATCCATAATTAGAGAATGTTTACTGTAGCACTACATAGGCTAATCATGAATTAATTAGGCTCAATAGATTCGTCTCGCGAATTAGTCCAAGATTATGGATGGGTTTTATTAATAGTCTACGTTTAATATTTATAATTAGTGTCCAAACATCCGATGTGATAGGGATTTAAAAGTTTTAGTCCTATCTAAACAGGATCTAAGTGTTTTTAGTCTTCACCACGAACGTGATGGCTTCTTTTCGAACTGTCCTAATAGATTTTCGTGGCACTAAAATGTAGCAATCGCTGTCTGCCTCTCTTAGGCTGCTCCCTCTTCCTTGACCAATGTTTATAGGCTTCTAGCTGCTTCCAATTTTTGTTGGTCGTTTTCTAGCAAGAGAAGATTCCACTTTGATTCGATTGGTGTCTCACTGTCTCCCCATCGATCAAGGTGCTTGATGCCACGGCCACCATCCTTTCGTTCCCTCCACTTCGTCTTTGGCATCAAATTTCTGGCACCTCGGCATCTCGAAAGCAAAAGATGGCAGATGCCCCAGGATTCATCAGAGCTTTTTTACTTGTGTTCAGAATCATTCCACGAGTTCTACTCGACTGAGAATCATTCGCATCCTCTAAAAATAATCGAGATGAAATTTACACGCACAGGAAACTAATTTATCCAGAATTTACCAGGTTTTTTGCACATAAGCAGGAGCAGGTTACAGTTAAGTTGCACACTTGTACCCATGAGACCTGGAAAGCTTCTTTCCCCCACCAAACATTTCGTGTTCATTTGAAATATGAAACTGCATGCAGTTATGCGTATACGTTTCCTCAAATTTGCCTCAAATTACTCAAAACCTGGCTCTCTCTCTCTCTCTCTCTCCTTCCTCCTTATCAAGTTTTTCTTAATTACATCGATTTCTCCATATTTTACAGAGAGTACAGTAGAAAATTTTCTTTTGATCATATATCATCCAAGCATGGGTCACGGTCTCATCAAGTATAGCATACTGTACTTCGCTCGTGCTAGGCTACGGCGAGTAGTCTCCTCGGCGAGCCGCCGCGGATCGCCGCCGGCGGCGGCCGCGGCGTCCGATGATGCAGGCCTAGCCGCTCCTTCTTGGCCATGGCGTCCCGCTCCCTCGCCTCGTCCGTCATGATCTGCTGCCACCTGCACTCCTCGCTGCAGAACCCCTGTTCACCCCTGCATCCAAGCAAACCACCCCAAAATTCAGGCGGCGATCGATCGAGCTCCAGCTAGCCGCCGGCCCGCCGCCGGCCATGTCGTCGGCGTGCCGTTGCCGTACGTACGTACCTGTACATGTACACGTCCTTGTCGGGGCCGAGCTCCAGCCTGCACAGGGAGCACGCGCTCAAGAAGTCACCGCAAGGACGCCGCCGCCGCCGGTGACGCGCCGCCGGCGGCGGGGACACCATCTGCATCTGCTTGAGGACGACATGGCCGTGCTGCTGGCGGTGGTGGTGCCTCGTCTGGGCGAGGACGATCTGCAGCCCGACGACACGAAGGCGCTGCTGGTGGATACTGATGATACCGTGATCGCCATGGCCGTCGCCGTGGTCAGCGCCGAGGTGCTCGGCGTCGGCGGCGCCGCCACCCTCCTCCCCGAGATGGAAGATGCTTCTCTGCCGGCTCGGAAGCATGGTGGAGTGGAGCGCGCGGGGAGGAGGAGAGGCCCGCAGCGCGCGGCGGCGCCTCGCACCAAACGGAGCTCGCCTCCTCCTCTTCTTCTTCTCGATCTCTAGTGGCTTTGCAATGGTGAGAGGGAGGGTGTGTGAGGGGGAGAGGAGTGATGGGTATTTAAAGCCACTCTGTCCACACACACAAGTGATCACTGGTCACTAATTAAGTAATTAGTATTGTATATAATTATCTTCTTAATATCTGAAATTGGGGCCAAATGATGGTAAAAATGGTCAATTTTCGGTTATTGGAATTGGTAGCCAAGTTTCTTTTATTCCACTTTGGCTGACTTAGCATATACCGAATGACATGCTAGAATTTATTTGATTTTGGAATGTTTTTTCAATTGAACTTGTTTAGAGGGAGTTGAGGGTTTTTCCCTTCACCTTATATGGTTTGATTTTTAGGTATCAAAACTCGTTGGTTATGTGTCTTATGGTAGAGAGACCGGGATGTAAATCAATTTCATTATTTTTTAAAAAAAAGATGATAATGATACAATTTTTTTTTAACAAAGATGATGATGCAACTGATGCTGCTGGGAATTTGACAGCAATGTTGATTGTGCTAGCTAGCTAGCTAAGCTGATGAATGATTGGTATTTTGTGGGAGTGAGAATTAAAGCTGTAGTTGATGCCTTGCTTTTCTCTTCTCTGCTCTTGTTTGTTCTTTCAAGGAAAGCATGAGCTTGCTAAAACCGATCATGGAACAGACACGGTGACAGAGTTAGTGTGGTCAGTAAAACTAGAGATGAACAATGGAGTTAGTGCGGCAATTGTGGAATCTAACCGTGGTTTTTCCTCAGCAAATCCCGGGAAAAAAGTCAGACGAGTGCGTTATCACCAGTTGGATCAAGATAATCCTGCAGTCCTAATCACACATCACCCATAAATCTAGAATTTTCTCTTTAAGTGGTTTACTTTGCTTTCCGACGCACCAATACGGTGGTAGGATCCAGTGTTTGTGCTCAACGTTTTTATTCATGATCGTAAATCTTAATGTGCATGATATACTTCCTGACAGGAACTTTATCATCTCCTATTCTCTTCTGGATCCCAGATGTTGCAGTAATTTAAGCTGATCATCCACTTAAATCTTAAAATGATTTGGTTTTTCTACGTTTTTCTTGCTCATTGTTCAGTTCAGTAAAACCAGCATGTGCTACTGTGCTACACCTACACTGCTATTCTGCTGCGAGAATTGGCCAAGTTGCCGCTCACTTTTGAGTTGTGACTTGTCACCTCTAGAGAATCGCTGAACTGCAGAAGTTATTAGTAGGCACGAATCTCCTTTACCCTTTTCCTCTCTTTTGGCCAAACACGAAAAGATGCAACACCCCCATTGTACTTACAACTGGACGATGCAGACTTGAAGCAGGCACGAATCTATAGGCCACGCAAAAGAAACTCCTCCAAAAAAAAAGAAAAACCGCGCATCTTTCAACTGCAAATCTGAAAATTCCAGAGGATGATCATTGATCAAGAAGCTCCTCATCAAGATCAAAGATTCTCACTCGTGCAAGAATCCATCAGTAGTACTACCTCCGTCCCAAAATAAGTGCAGCTGTGGATATTCGTGCCCAACGTTTGATCGTCCGTCTTATTTGAAAAATTTGTAAAAATTTTGAAAATATTTAGTCACACATAAAGTAATATTCACGTTTTATCATCTAATAGCAATAAAAATATTAATCATAAAAAATTTTTAAATAAGACAAACGGTCAAACGTTGAACATGAATGTGCAAAACTGCACTTATTTTGGGATGGAGGGAGTAGATTCGACCCGTTACATTCCAACCAGAGGCCTCTGCCGCTCGATCTTGCTACACTGATACTGACATGGATTTGGATGCTTGACGCGTTCTCCGCCTAATCTTCCCCCCGGCAGATTGATGAGGCGGTAGGCATCACTGATGCTGTGCTCCCTGTTGGAAGTGAAAGCGGACCGGAGAACCAATTCCACAGGGGCAGCTGCTGCTGGACCACTCGAGGTAGAGGTTTCATCTCGTTCTAACAGTAGAGTGATGGACAGGAGGAGGCAGGGACAGCTCGACAAATCATTGCTCTTTCCTCTCTCCCGAGAAACGATAGAATTTATAGTTATACCCTGGTTGCATAATTGGAAGCTCGCCGTTGATGAGGAAGAAAGGGACGCCGACGATGGGGACGCCGCAGCCCGGCGGCTCAGTTCGGTCGGCTTATCAACTGGGCCGCCTGGTCCGTGTCGGGGACGGCGCGATGGGCTTCCTCAACGGCCCAAGTCACCCAGATGGGCCTATGAAAGTAGCCCATTTGGGTCACTTCGATCGTCAGATCGGATCGAGACTACTCATCTTTTCGCTTATACTTATACGAGCAAAGTTTTAAAATTTTAATTTTAGATTTAGAGTTAATTTTAAAGTTTTTTGTCGTTGTTTGTTTTCCAGTATTTGCTTTTAGATCGCTAAAAACACATACTGTGTTCATTTTTTAATAGATGACGCCGTTAACTTTTTCTCACATATTTGACTATTTGTCTTATTCAAAAAATTTACGTAATTATAATTTATTTTGTTATGAGTTGTTTTATCACTTATAGTATTTTAAATGTGATTTATATCTTATACATTTGCATAAAAATTTTGAATAAGACGAATGGTCAAACATGTGAGAAAAAGTCAATAACGTCATCTATAAAAAAAAAACGGAGGCAGTATATTTTTCGTTTGTAAAATATGTAGTTTGAGTCCTACCGCTCTTCCCTGATTCTGGCGGCACGCAGCGCCGCCTCCGCCGTCTCTATTTTCTTTTCTAGTTGAATCTCTAGTCGACGTAGAAGAATTCTTCTATACTTTCTGGTTGAATGTCTAGTTGACGCAGAAGAATCCTTGTATTCCAAAATTTTCATGGAGCTTTCTCGCAGAGAAGAGAGTACATTGACCCCTCCAAGAAAATGGCGGGAGCGTCCGAGAATGGCGGCCATTGTTGCATGCCAAAGCTTCTAAACATAGCTTCCACAATCGTCTCCGGGCCCTTCTTTTTTCCCGGGAAGCGTCAGCGCGGCCACATGAATGAACCCTCGTTCTCCAATGCCTCCGGCCTTCTTCCTCCTCCGTCCTCTCTGCCAATGGTGATGTCAGGCAGAGAGTGTGAGAGAGAAAGAAGAAGCAGTCAATAAGGAGGAGGAGAAAGAGGAGTGGGGGAAGAAGAGAAGAGCTAGGGATAGATTCCGGCCATGTCGTCGGCGTTCGGCGACTTCGGCCCGCTCACCGAGCGGCGCCGCGCCGAGAAGGCGCGGCAGCAGCGCAGGCGCATCATGATCGCCCTCGGCACGGTGTCCATCATCATTATCCTCATCGTCATGGGCGCCGCCGCCATCACGTACAGCGGGAAGAAATCCGAGGAGGACGAAGGCGGCTCCAAGGGCTCGTCGAAGGGGAAATCGAAAGGCGGCGGAGGTGGAGACGACGAAGACGGCGGCGGCGGCGGCGGCAAAGCGGACCTGCGCGCCGTGTCGAAGAGCATCAAGATGATGTGCGCGCAGACGGACTTCGCGGACTCGTGCGCCACGAGCATCGGCAAGGCGGCGAACGCCAGCGTGTCGTCGCCCAAGGACATCATCCGCACCGCCGTGGACGTGATCGGCGGCGCGGTCGACCAGGCGTTCGACCGCGCCGACCTGATCATGAGCAACGACCCGCGCGTGAAGGCCGCCGTCGCCGACTGCAAGGAGCTCTTCGACGACGCCAAGGACGACCTCAACTGCACGCTCAAGGGCATCGACGGCAAGGACGGCCTCAAACAGGGCTTCCAGCTCCGCGTCTGGCTGAGCGCGGTGATCGCCAACATGGAGACCTGCATCGACGGCTTCCCCGACGGCGAGTTCAGGGACAAGGTCAAGGAGTCGTTCAACAACGGCAGGGAGTTCACCAGCAACGCCCTGGCGCTCATCGAGAAGGCCTCCTCGTTCCTCTCCGCCCTCAAGGGCTCCCAACGCCGGCTGCTCGCCGGGGAAGAAGACAACGGAGGAGGAGCAGCGGACCCCCACCTGGCCCTCGCCGAGGACGGCATCCCGGAGTGGGTGCCCGACGGCGACCGGAGGGTGCTCAAGGGCGGCGGGTTCAAGAACAACCTCACGCCGAACGTCATCGTCGCCAAGGACGGCAGCGGCAAGTTCAAGACCATCAACGAAGCTCTCGCCGCCATGCCCAAGACCTACAGTGGAAGGTACGTGATCTACGTGAAGGAGGGCGTGTACGCCGAGTACGTGACCATCACCAAGAAGATGGCGAGTGTCACCATGTACGGCGACGGCTCCAGGAAGTCCATCGTCACCGGCAGCAAGAACTTCGCCGACGGCCTCACCACCTTCAAGACAGCAACCTTCGGTATAAACCAATATCAGAGCTTCCGCCATTGACGCGCAATGTGATCGATGGCGATTTTTGCAGCGGCGCAAGGGGACGGGTTCATGGCGATCGGGATGGGGTTCCAGAACACGGCGGGGGCGGCGAAGCACCAGGCGGTGGCGCTGCTGGTGCAGTCGGACAAGTCGGTGTTCCTCAACTGCTGGATGGACGGGTTCCAGGACACGCTGTACGCGCACTCCAAGGCGCAGTTCTACCGCAACTGCGTCATCACGGGCACCATCGACTTCGTCTTCGGCGACGCCGCCGCCGTGTTCCAGAACTGCGTCCTCACGCTCCGCCGCCCCATGGACAACCAGCAGAACATCGCCACGGCGCAGGGCCGCGCCGACGGCCGCGAGGCCACGGGGTTCGTGCTCCAGAAGTGCGAGTTCAACGCCGAGCCGGCGCTCACCGACGCCAAGCTTCCCCCCATCCGCAACTACCTCGGCCGGCCGTGGCGCGAGTTCTCCCGCACCGTCATCATGGAGTCCGACATCCCGGCGATCATCGACAAGGCCGGGTACATGCCGTGGAACGGCGAGTTCGCGCTCAAGACGCTCTACTACGCCGAGTACGCCAACAAGGGGCCCGGCGCCGACACGGCGGGGCGCGTCGCGTGGCCGGGGTACAAGAAGGTGATCAGCAAGGCGGACGCGACCAAGTTCACCGTCGACAACTTCCTGCACGCAAAGCCATGGATCGATCCCACCGGCACGCCGGTCAAGTACGACTTCTTCACTTGAATCCGAACGACCCTAGCTACCCGTAGCGGATCGGAGGAAGTCGAGAGGACAGGTAGGGGGGTTTCGTTGGATATATCTTGGATGGCGAAAGAGTTTCGGCTGTCACTATACACGAGTGGAAATGTTGCGAGGTGTACGCATGAACTCGCTTGTTGATCAGATATTGATCAGAGTTGAACGCGTGCTGTGTGCCTTAGTTTTCATTTGCGTTTGTATACTGGCTGTACGTATGTGTTTATGTAACTGTACATGATTTTTTTTTCTCGATCATGATTATATTTGAGTATAGCAGATCATTTTTTTTTCCATGGAGAGTATAGCAGATCATGAATACAGAGGTTCAGATTTACAGCACTAGAATATGTCCCATCCAATCAAAATCTTTTATGTTTTGGGAGAGGGAGTAGTAGAAAAGGCCTACTCCTAAATGGGAAACAAAATAAAGTATGGGATACTGAATTTTCATAAAAAGCCTACTCCTAAGTGGCAAAACAAAATAAAGCATGAAACAATGAGTGGTTGTTTGGTTCACAATCTATAATTGCCAAGGTTTATCATGTTTTCTTCGTCAAACTTGTCAAAGGTAAGGTCATCAAAATCCAAGCCATAATCTAAATAAAATCATGCTATACTATTTAGAGTCACTAAAGAGAAATATTGGATTTGCCAATATTTATAAAAAAAATATTGGATTTACCAATATTTTTAAAAAAAGAAATCTTATCACACTTATGAAAGTCATCCAAACACTCATCATGAATTTCTAACCAGGCATCGTCGGCCTTTGGGCTGATACGGCAAACTTTGCCGTTGCTTCATCAGAGCATCCATACATGACCTATGGCTGGATTCCAACCACCGTATCTGACAAGCACCTAACATCATCCTGCAGTACCTATTTCGGGATCAAATGAATTCAGAAAATCAGCACCAATTACAACCATGACATCCTTTCAATTCCTACTGGCTTAAATTAAGATTTACTTCAATTAGAAAAAGGTTAAGATTTTTGTCCGAATGTAAAAAAAGGTTAAGATTTAATTCTACGTGCGTTGACATTGCGAAAATGCTGCCGCTCGGTCGCCCAGGGGAGGGGGAGAAAATCGGGCGCTCCCCTCCTCCCCCCTCCACAACGTGTCCATGTGCTTCTACTGGGACCCCACCATATGTCCCTACTACTTGCTACATATCTTCACCATATACTCTATTGAAAAAAAAATCACATATTTTGGAAACCCCCTATTAAGGGAATTCGGTTTATTTTTTATTCCACCAAAAATGTTTCACCTAATGTACCCACAATGTTTCACTATGTATAAATCTAATGTTGCAGTGAACTGAAATACTCCATTGCAACAAAAAAAACTCACAGATTTTGGAAACCCCCTATTAAGGGAATTCGTTTTATTTTTTGTTCCAACGAAAAATGTTTCACCTAGTGTATTTATAATGTTTCACTATGTATGGATCAAATGTTGCAGTGAACTAAAACATTGTTTCGCTATTTGCTACTTTCTCCGTCCCAAAATGTAAGCATTTTTAAGGTTGGCACGGGTATTAAGAAAGTAGGTGAGAATGATTGAAGAAGATGTGTGATTGGTTAAAAAGAGAAAGTAGGTGAAAAAGAATGGTTGTGATTGGTTGAGAGGAGAAGGTAGGTAGAAAAATAGCTTTATTTTGGGACAAAGTGCTATGCTAGAAATAGTTACATTTTGGGACGGAGGTAGTAAAACATTATTTTTATATAAGGTGAAACAACACCCAATTTAAACGAGTGAAACATTTTTTATCTAATTAGTGAAACAATTCCGATATATCCAGTGGAACATCGTGCAACATTTAAAAAAAATTCAATAATAAGCTAAAATTTTTTTTCATCGGAATATATCCATGTATGGTCTTGTTTTGAAGATTTAATTGCAACGAATTTAATGGTGCAATCGGATCATGATTTAGATAAGTAATTTAAGAGAAAAATCAGTTTAAAGTAGTTTTTACACGTAAATCGGGCGCTGACGTCATGCTAGCGTCAGCGCCCGATTTTTTCCCAAAGCATCGGGCATCCGACGCTTAGGGCCTTCCTTGACATTGATCCTAGCCAGCTTTCTTTTTTATTCCATAATTTGTTCAGTTAGTTGTATGACTTCAGGCCTATTCTTTTCTGTAAAAATAAATTAGATAAATTTTTAGGTACTCGTGGCATGCTTTTTGAATTGCTAAACGGTATATTTCGTGCGAAAACTTTCTATATGAAAGTTGTTATTAATCCATTTTTTAATTTTGTAATAATTAAAACTCAATTAATCACATGTTATTACCACCTCGTTTTACGTGAAATTGTTAATCTTTATCTTTTAGGAGATTCTATCACCACCTCAGTGTTGTTCTGTTGTTATTTCTAACATGCTCATACTTGCACATTTCTTCTTCTTATTAATTATTAGATTCTCCATTCAACTGATGCGTAGATTAGTAACGTCCAGGGATTACAATTCCGACGAAAACCGGTCGAATCCCGCGAATTTTTGAGGTTTCGACAAGGCTCAAAGTAGAAGCCGTCTGAGATTTCGATGAGTTTTATCCAAATTTAAATTTGAATTGATAAAAAAGAAAAAAATCAAATAAAATCTTATAAATAGTATGATATTCATAGAACTTATTGGGATATAAATTTTCGAAAAAATTGATGTATTCCGTGTATTTACTGAAATTTACAATAGGAAAGAAAATAATAAAGAATTAAAAAAGGAAAAAAAATCTGTTTACCTCTTTTTCTAGTTATCGATTGAAATTTTGATGATTTCGCTCAGAATTTCACCAAAGCCTATCGGTTTTCGCAAGCTTATCGGTAAACTTAAGAAATTTGTATTTAAATTTTGGTTTATAAAATTTGTTCGGAATCGCCGGAGTTTTGTTCGGAATTTTGGCTTTCCACCGAATTTCGTGAAAACTGTCATTCCGTCAGAGCCCAAAACGAAAGATCATCTAGGAATCGTAAACCTGGTAACGTCCAAGGCTGTGTTTAGTTCGTGTGCCAAAATTTTTTAAGTATACGGAGACACATTTCATGTATTAAACGTAGACTAATAACAAAACAAATTACAGGTTCCGCCTGTAAACTGCGAGACGAATTTATTAAGCCTAATTAATCCGTCATTAGCAAATGTTTACTGTAGCATCACATTGTCAAATCATAGTGTAATTAGGCTTAAAAGATTCGTCTAGCAATTTACAGTCGAACTGTGCAATTGGTTTTTTTTCGTCCACATTTAATACTCCATACATGTGTCCAAACATTTGGTGTGACAGAAAAGTTGAAACTAAACAATTTGCTCAATTTTAATTTCAATCAAACTTTTAACTTTTAGCGTGAACTAAACACAACCATCGAACATTTGCTCATCCAGTTATCGGTCACGTTTGGATGCTCGAGATGAAAAAACGGCGAAGTTTGCCGTATCACCCCGAGACAGACGATGCCAACCCAACCAGAAGGAGAAACCGAGAAAGTACCTGTAAAAGCTGACTTCTGCACATGAAATGGAAATGACAGATGAGAGTCCTGCACTCTCTCTCTGCCTCGAGGCTCGCGCGTCGTCTCGGGACCAACGGTCGCAACAGTGGCGTACCCAGGTTTTTAAGATATGGTGGTCTAACTCAACTTGTTCAGCAAATCTACCATAGATTATATAGGATTGTAAGGTTTAATTTGAATTTACCATTCCAATTCCAATCGACCGGATATCCTAAAATTGAAATGAGATTGAACATTTAAACCTAAAGAAAAAAAAACCCTACTGTTAGGGAGGAGAAAGAGAGAAGCAGATGAGAAGTTGAGAACCTACTATAGTGCTGTTTGCTAACGTGCTGTTTGCTGTGCTTTGGTGTTGCGTGCCTCCTGATGAATGGAGTGCTGCTGATTGCTTTCTCCCTGCTGGTTGCTGCTGGCCTGTGGCACTGCGCGCTGGTGCGGTCGCTGCCCGCGGTGGCGCAGTCGCCGGCCGCCGACGTGGCGACGTCACAACTCACTCGTTAGTGCCTCAATGGACAGTGGTCGTCGTGACTCGTCGACTTGCGCGCTCGAAAATTGGAAACGACAATTGCGATGGAAACGAAGCGACGCGCCGACGCCCGATGCCCGACGCGGTGGTTGAATTGGCGAAAAAACAAAGCGTCAAAGTGCCATCTATATTTTTAAGTAGCGCATAGAGGTAATGGGCCATGGACCAGAATTCTATGGTGGTCCATGGACCACACGGACCACGTTATAGCTCCGCCCCTGGGTCGCAAGTCGCAACGGGATGGAACATGGTCCATGGAGTGATCAACAGCCCAGGAGTCACAGCTCCCTCTACGCACAAGAGTAACCGCACGACGCCACGCCATTACGTTCGATACCAGCATGGTTGTGGTGGCTCACGGGGTGGACCGGGGGAGCGAACTCGCCGCCGCCAGCGAGGAGGATGATGGGTACTCCACCTCCACCACCGATGACGACGACGACGACGACGACGTCGAGCCCCACGGCCCGGCGTCCTCCGGGCTCCGCTGGGTCCCTTACGCCGCGGCGGTCTCCGCCGTCCGCGCCCTGCTCGGCGCCTCCCACCACGACCTCCGCCTCCGCGCGCACCAGCTCTCGCGCTCGCTCAGCGCCGTCTTCTTCGCTGGCGCGGGGAACGAGGGGGCGGTGCTCGTCTGCGCCGACGTGCCGCCGCTCGGGCCGGCGCTGCGGGACGCGCAGCGCACGATGGTGCGTGTCGCGGCGGAGGAAGCGGACCACGCCGCGTGCGACTGCTACTACGACGCCGTCCGCGACGTCATGCGGCTGCTGGTCGGCGACGCCGGGCTGTTCAGGTCGGCCTTCTCGTCCCACTGGGTGTTCTTCTCCAACGTCGAGTTCCAGTCTCGCTTCCGCGGCTACAACCCGGCCCCCGCCGTGGCCGCCGCGTCCGCGCTCCGCTGGGTCCCTCACGCGGCGGCGGTGTCCGCCGTCCGCGCCCTGCTCGGCGCGTCCCACGAGGACCTCCGGCTCCGCGTTCACGGCCTGTCGCGCTCGCTGAGCGGCGCGTTCTTCGCCGTCGGTGCGGCGGCGGCACCGTTCGCGTCGGGGGCGCGGTTTCCGGAGGGGAAGCTGTTCGTCTGCGCCGACCTCCCGCCGCTGGGGCCAGCGCTGGTGGCCGCGCAGCGTGCCATGATGCAGGTGGCGGTGAAGGACGCCAGCCACGGCCCGTGCGACTGGTACTTCGACACCGTCGGCGAGCTCATGCGGCTGCTGGTCGGCGACACCGGGGTCGGCCCTGCGGTGTTCGACCGTGCGTCGTTCGAGTCAGCCTTCGCTCTCGAATGGGAGAACTGAACTACAGCAAGTTCAAAGTTCTTCAGATTTTCCTTGGTTTATGTCTCAAACTACCGGTCAAATTAGCAGTTTGTTCGTAATTCAATACATGTCCCAGCAAAATTAATCTGAAGAATTTGTGATTGCAGAATTTCGCACTAGATTCATAGGTGAATTCAAACAAGTTTTACTGCTAGCATTTTCTTCATTACAGGATACAGGGCTACATCCGAAACAAGCAGATTCCTAACAAGACAAACACAATGCAAAAGGCTCCTAGCCGCCGAAGCCGTAGAGGGTGCGGCCCTGGCGCTTGAGGGCGTAGACGACGTCCATGGCGGTGACGGTCTTGCGGCGGGCGTGCTCGGTGTAGGTGACGGCGTCGCGGATGACGTTCTCGAGGAAGATCTTGAGCACCCCGCGGGTCTCCTCGTAGATGAGCCCCGAGATGCGCTTCACCCCGCCCCTCCTCGCCAGCCTCCGGATCGCCGGCTTCGTGATCCCCTGGATGTTGTCGCGGAGCACCTTCCGGTGCCGCTTCGCCCCGCCCTTGCCGAGACCCTTCCCTCCCTTGCCGCGCCCCGACATCGACGACGATGGAATTGGGGATTTTTGGTGGCGATTTTTGGTTGATCTGTATTGGGGAGATAGGTGAGGGCGATGTTATATAGGATTTGGGTGGGGGAGTGGGGAGTGGGGAGCCGTCGGATGGGGAGCGATCCGCGTGAGTGGTGAGGAGTGCAGCGTGGGCCGTTGGATTGAGGGAGGCGCGGATCGGCGAGGTTGGTTTCGGGGAGTGTAGAGTGGAGACCGCGCGGGGAAATTTGGGGATTTCGTGGTGGGAGAGCGAAATTTTCGCGGTTTGGACTATGCGCGGCGCGAGCTTTGCGAGTTTTGCGCCGTGATGGATTTCGGCAGTCGGCACAGCCTTGCCTGGTTGGTTTGGTATTTTTGGAGCTCTGGGCTGGGCTGCGCTGGGCGCACTGGCAAATGGCAATGTGCTACGGATGAGGCGATGAGCATGTGCAGGTTTCCTCGGTAAAAAGTCTAGAAAGCTACGTGTCATGCCGTCTTTGATTACTTGTGAATCGTTAAAACCTGGACCCTTTTTCATGCAAATGATATGGCCTGCCATCCAGGAATCGAAGCATGGCCCGGCCAATGGACTTCTGAGAAACCAAATACTACTACCAAGGTTCCTCTGCCACCACCAGTCCACCACAGCTCCACAAGTCCACAACTATATTCCACGCAAAGGCGAAGAAGACTTGTTACTCTCTTCGTCCCATAATATTACAATCTAGAATTGGATGTGATGTTTCATAGTACAACAAATCTGGACATGCATCTGTCCATATTCGTTGTACTATGAAACGTTCCATCCAGTCTAAGGTTTTAATATTATGAGACTAAGGGAGTATATGCTTGCACTATACTTCTTCACAGCGTATGTGCTCTCTACTCCGCTGCAAATATGCAGCAGCCTGTACTCGATCGTGTGTTCCCTCCGCACCGCGTGAACCTGCTGCAAAAATCCCCAGAAAAACCACCATTTCTGCCTCTGCCAAAACCAACTTCGTTTGGGCCACAGCCACACACCGTGTACGCACGCATTCTGCCATGAAGCCGCAGAGGCTGCCGCTGCCGCCCGTCCCCGCCGCGGCGCTCCTCCTGCTCCCCGTCGCACTCCTCGCCGCCCTTCTCTTGGTCGTCTACCCCAACGAGTTCGCCCTGCAGGCCTCGCTGGCCGGCGCCGCCGCATGCGGCGATCATCAAGGCGGCGGCGGCGGCGGTGGCGTGCAGGCGGCCCCGGAGTTCCGGCTGCTGATCGGCGTGCTGACCCTCCCGGCGCGGTACGAGCGGCGGCACCTGCTCCGGATGGTGTACGCCCTCCAGCAGCCGGCGGTGGCGTCGAGGGCGCGCGTGGACGTCCGGTTCGTCTTCTGCCGCGTCGGCTCGCCGGAGGACCGCGTCCTGGTGTCCCTGGAGGCGATGGCGTACGGCGACGTGGTGGAGCTCGACTGCCCGGAGAACATGGACAACGGCAAGACCCACGCCTACTTCTCCAGCGTGCCGCGCCTCTTCGGCGGCGGCGAAGCCGCCTACGACTTCGTCATGAAGGCCGACGACGACACCTTCTTCCGGCTGCCGGAGCTCGCCGAGTCGCTGTCGCGAGCGCCGCGGCGCGACCTCTACTACGGGTGCATGGTGCCGTGCGACTACGTCCGCGGCTCGAACGAGTACATGTCCGGCATGGGGTACCTGCTGTCGTGGGACCTCGTGGAGTGGATCGTGGCGGCGGCGGCGGAGATCGAGGGGAGGACGGGCGGGCCGGAGGACCGGACGCTCTACTCGTGGCTCCGACGCGGCGGCAGGGGCAGGAACCGGGTGGACGTGAAGCCGGCCATGTACAACTTCCCCGGGAGGCACCCGTGCTCGCACGAGTTCATACCGGACACCATCGCCGTGCACCAGCTCAAGGACAACCGCCGGTGGGCGAGGACGCTCCAGTACTTCAACTTCACCGCCGCGCTCAAGCCGTTCTACCCGGTGATTTAGGTTGATCGATATATCGATCTCGTGAGTTTTTACCGCAATTGAATTTTTTTTGTTGAGCCGAGTCAACTTCGGTTCGTGAGATTTGTATTCTTTTGATTGTTGTATACGTAAAGCTGCAAATTAAACATTTCTCGATCCGTAGGAACGGGCGGTGAGGTGACCAGTGTACGTAACATGTTCGATTGTTCATCGATCCCAAGCGTATACTACCTCTATCCCAAAATAAATGTAGCCGTGAAAATCCGTGTCCAATGTTTAACTTTTCATTTTATTTAAAAAATTTATGAAAAATTTTAAAAAAATTAGTCATACATAAAATATTATTCATGTTTTTATCATCTAATAATAATAAAAATAGTAATTATAAAAAAATTTTAAATAAGACGAAATAGGATGAATAGTGTAAAACTAGTACGAGCGAGTCGATATCAAGCAAATTAAAAGCGAGCACATGCACATGCAGAGGCCAGGCTTGTTTAATTGTGTTACAAGCTTGGCCAACCGGACATTCCACTCCACTGCAACACCCTTCTCTTGCTCAGCGCGCTCACGTCGAATCGTAACAGTTCTACTTAAAAAAATATGTTGTCATATAGGAGTATTTTTTTTCTTGATTTGAGTTATTTTGTGATTACTATCTCTCCGTTCATGTTTCTATCTCTCTGCTACCTCTTCTTTCAAATGGGAAATTTATTGTTGTAGGCTGTGTTCTTCCCTCTTTTTTCCCAACTCACCTTTCTTGTTTTCCGCGCACACGCATTTATTCTCAAACTCCTAAATAACACTGGTAGGAAAACAATCTTTCTGTACGAGGACCCCTTTAGATTGCAGATGAACCGTAACTAACGGCGTCTGCAAAAATCGACCTCCATTTTAACGTACGACTCCCTAAGAGACCCGCATGTAAAATTCTATTTTTACAGACGGGTCTCTTAAGGGGTCGCATGTAAAAATAAGTCTATTCACATGCGGGCCTCTTAAAGATCTGCATGCGGATCTCTTAAAGATTCGCATGCAAAATTATCTTCTCTTTATTACAGTTTTTCCCTCCTCACCACTTCAAAATTTTCACCTCTTATCCTCTCCTCTTTCTCCTCTCTAATATTTCCCCCTCTCTCTTCCTTCACCTCTATCTTTCTCTCATTTTCTCCTCTCCCTCTCTTTCTCTTCGTCTCCTCTCTCTCTCTTTCTCTCACCGAGCGGGAGGCACTGGGCAACGGGCGGTGCGGCCGACGAGCAGGCGCTGGGAGCAGGCACCACCCCACGACACAGACTACGGCGGCGGCACTGGGGGGCATGGGCGACGGCGGCGGCCCTCTCCCGCCTGGATCCGCCGGTGGTTGCCCTCCCCTGCTCCGATCCGCTGGCGGCGGCCCTCCCCCGCCTGGATCCGCAGGCCGGTGCCCTCCCCCACCCTGATCCGTCGGCTGTGGCCCTCCCGGTGCCTCCTCACCGTGACAGGAGGAGGACGACGTCGACAGTGGCTGCGAAGGCTTAAGGACGACGGCGAACCGGTAGTGGGTGTATTTTTCGACTTTTGGAATTTTTATTTTTTTCACGATTTTTCCTTTTCGCTTGCAGTTGCACGGGCCGCATATCTCGTCCTAAGCTTCATAATCCGTTTCATATTAAAATACAAAATTTATCTCAATTTTTATTAGCATATTTTTCAAACGGTTAAACCGTGATTTCGTAAAAAAAAACTTTATGTATAGTTGTTGCTCTAAAATATTTAAATAAATCTATTTTTTCAGGTTTGTAGTAATTTAAATTTAATTTATCATTTTCAAATGATTTTCTTGTTTTAGATGTCCTTACTTAATCTCCATCTTCATAACTTTTTGGGCAGATTTTTTCAGATGTAGTACTACTATGTGGTACGTATACATCATAACAAATCGTTGTTTGTTGCTTTTGCAATTAGTATATAGTCAAACCACTTTCGTTCGTGGTACTGTGTGACTGTGACTGAGCCGGAAGCTAGAAGCATCTCCTATCATAAAGTCAGAAAGTCAGAGGGACGTGGTCACTTACGTGTGGGCCCATAAAGGTGAGACCCACCTATCAGCGACCCACGTCTCTCTGATTTTACGTTAGAGGAGCTCTGTCCGACTTAGCCTTCTCCTATCATCAAATTGTATGGACATTATCACGGAACTATTATAAACATTTAAGAACTTGCATGCCACTCAAATAGTTATGATTTATTTTTAAAATAAAAAAAGATAAATTAATATATGATAAATTACTTCATAAACATGCAAGGTAAAATTTAACTAGTACATATTGCAATGCAAAAAACAAATTCAACTATGAATATACGTTATGAATATACGTTAACTAGCTGTAGTTTAATGTTTTTTCTTGCTGGTAAAAGTTGAATTTTAATTAACTGATATATCACGTGTTAATACAAACTTTTATTTTTTTAAAAAAACATCATAATTATTTGAATAACATACGATTAATGAGGAGGTATTCTCTCGAGAGTTTAAAATCCACCTCCATCATCATGCCAGGAAACTCTTTTAATCACATGGGTGGATGTTCTCCCGTTTATTGTATGCCATTTAAATAATTACGAAAAAAATAAAAAAATATGATAAGATACATCAATATGCAATATAGATGCAAGTTAAAATTCAACCTTTACGAATTGTAACAAGAATAATAAATAAAACTCAAAATTAGTATAGGTATATTTGCAATTAAATTTGTTATCTTTGTTACAACTTGTAAAAACACATGTTTGTGAATTGATATATTAGATGTTGATCTATCTTGTTATTTTTTTTCGTTATAATTGACATGTAATGAATGAGTGTGACGTCCACCCGTCATCTTCCGCTGCTTCATAAGCTGGATAACTGCGCAATGCAACACCCCGTAACCAGGCCATTTCGTTCGTCTCGTCGTCTCGTTTCGCCGGTTGGGATTCGGGAGCCATGAAGCAGGCCACGTCGTCGCGCTTTCCGGCCACCTCGTTTTGCTCGCTGTGCCTCCGCCTCCTCCTACCCCTCGGACTCGTAGCCATGGCGCTGTCGAGCCTTGTTGTCCTCTCCGTCTCCGGCTGCCTCAGTGCTCCGCGCTCCCGTCCCGTCGTCGACAACACTAACAACGACGGCGGTCTAGGTGCTGAGACGACGGCCGCGAGGGAGCCGGAGTTCCGACTCCTCGTGGGGGTGCTGACCACGCCGAGCCGGTACGAGCGGCGCGGCATCCTGCGCCTGGCGTACGCGCTGCAGCCCGCGCCGGGGGCGCAGGTGGACGTGCGGTTCGTGCTGTGCGACGTGACGGACGCCGCGGACGCGGTGCTGGTGGCGGCGGAGGCGGCGCGGCACGGCGACATCCTGGTGCTCGACGGCTGCAGTACCGAGAACATGAACGACGGCAAGACGCACGCGTACCTCTCCTCCGTGCCGCGCCTGTTCGCGCCGTGCCCCTACGACTACGTCATGAAGGCCGACGACGACACGTACCTCCGCGTGGCGGCGCTCGCCGACGAGCTCCGCGGCAAGCCGCGGAGGACGTCTACCTCGGCCGGGGCTACGCCGTCGGCGACGACCCGATGCCGTTCATGCACGGCATGGGCTACGTCGTGTCCTGGGACGTCGCGCGCTGGGTGTCCGCCAACGAGGACATCGTGCGTCGCAGCGGCACGCGCGGGCACGAGGACCGCCTCGTCGGCAGGTGGCTCAACGCCGGCGGCAGGGGACGGAACCGGTACAACCTCAAGCCGCGGATGTACGACATCAACTGGGACATGGACGAGTTCCGGCCCAACACCATCGCCGTGCACAGGCTCAAGAACAACCGCCGGTGGGCCGCCGTGTTCCGGCACTTCAACGTCACCGTCGGCATAAAGCCATCCACAGCGGCAAGGCCACACAACTAGAATCCAGTGACAAACGGCATAATCGCTAGAAATGGATGTACACTATATATATTGGCTGGACACAACAATGTACTCCGCTATCACTCACTTCTATTAAGGTGTGTTTGAGGAGAAGGGGATTGAGGAGATTGGGGAGATACGCAAAACGAGGTGAGCCATTAACTCATGATTAATTGAGTATTAACTATTTTAAATTTCAAAAATGGATTAATATGATTTTTAAAGCAACTTTCCTATAGAAATTTTTTTGCAAAAAACGCACCGTTTAGTAGTTTGAAAAGCGTGCACGCGGAAAACGAGAATCAATCTCCCCTATCTCCTCATAACGAACAGAGCCTTAGTCTCACCGACTACGAATGTGTAGTTACATCGAAATTAAACCAGGCCCGGTGGGACAAGTGCCTCAACGCCGACGGTTTATGTATTTCTGGGCCTTGCCATCCTTCTGGGATCAGAATGGCCCAACCGAACAACGAGTCATCAGCAATCAGTTGGAAATATGTCTATTTTGTCTCCCTCATTTCTTACTCTGTTTTAAAACAGAGTATAATTCCGGGTAAAGTCTTGTCCAAAATCCTTCGCGTCGGTCGCTCAGGGGAAGGAGAAAAATCAGACGCTCCCTCCCCACGTGACGCGTGCTGCCTCCTAGGCCCCACCACGTGCCCCTGCCCCCACCTGCCATGTATCTCCACCACATACTCTATTGCAACAAACCACCCACATAACCTCTATTAAGGGAATTCGTTTTATTTTTTGTTCCACCAAAAATGTTTCACCTAATGCACTCACAATGTTTCAATGTGTATGAATCAAATGTTGCAGTGAATTGAAACATTCTTTTACAACAAATCACACACATATTATGAAAACCCTCTATTAAGTGAATCCGTTTTATTTTTTGTTCCACCAAAAATGTATCACCTAGTGTACTCGTGATGTTTCACTATGTATAGATTAAATGTTGCAGTGAATTGAAACATTCTTTCGCTATTTGCTGAAACTTTGTTTTTATATAAGGTGAAACAACATCCAATTTAAACGATTGAAACATTTTCGATCTACTTAGTGAAACAATTCCGATATATTTGGTGTAACAGTGTGCAACATTTAAAAACAATTCAATAATAAGCTAAATTTTTGTCATCGTAATATATCTATGTGTGGTCTTATTTTAAAAATTTAATTGCAATGAATTTAATGGTGCAATCGGATCATGATTTGGATAAATAACTTAAGAGAAAAAATAGTTTAAAATAGTTTTGCATGCATGCATGCTGACGGTCAGCTGACGTGGGCGCCCGATTTTTTGCACCCCAGATCGGGCACTCGACGCGTAGTGCCCTCGCGGGTGTTCGGGTGCGTGAGAATTTCGCGAACTGTTGCAATAGCTTTCCATCCCTTCTTTTGTTCCTAATTATGCTTATAATCACCAAGCTAACATTTGTTTCGGTTAAAAGACCACTTCACATGACCACACATCGTTTTTCAGTTACGAGTTTGTTTTTCATTTGTTTCGGTTATCTCTCTATCGGCGATGTAGGCGCTGCGGGGATGGCGGGAACAGCAGAAAGGGTGCTGCGCACGCTAGCAAGGAGGACGTTGGAGGTGGCGGGTCGAGGTGAGGAAGGGGTTGCAACGCAGTGGGAGCCTAGTAATGGTGAGGAAGGCGGGAGTATGCGGCGGCAAGGAGGGCATGGTGAACGGTGGCGAGGAAGGCGCTGGAGATGGTGGGCTGCGCGAGGAAGGGGCCAGTTGTGGCGCGGCGGACGGCGGTGAGGAGGGCTGGAAGCAGTAGGCAGTTTGGTAGCTGTGAGCTCGATGGAGCCCAGACAGATGGGGGATGGAAGAAAGAGAGGTGAGGGAGGAAGTGGACGACGCGAGGGTCGAGGTGGTGAATCCAGTGATGCCCACGCTTCTCCTTCCATCTCCTCTCTTGTCGGCCGGAGGAGAAGGAATAGGAGGGAACCTCAACGAACAACGGGATGTGGATTTGGCAATCGGCTTGGTTGCTGGCTTGATTGGAGATTGAGGGCAGGGGTGAAGAGGGGAGGAGGGAAGAAGGAAGAAGGGAGAAGACTGGAGGCAACCGCAGCTAGCAAACACCTGTGTTGTTGGAGTCCTCTAGCTCGGTAGCTATCGGCCTCCATGGAAGAGGAGGGAATGTAGCGCCCGTTCCGTCGTGGCGCCTAGCGGGAAAATTATCTCTTAAAAACCCTAATTGCGAAATTTGTTTCTTTGCTTGTTGTCTAGTGTTCGTGCCATCTCAAGATCTCAATCCCCGATCTATCGTCGAGTCCAATCCCGAATCCAATCCTTCCAAATCAAATTCCTCCACAAAAGTCTATTTTGCCTCCCCCGGGGGTCGATGGGCCGATTTCCTCCCGGCCCATCTCCCCCTCTCCCCCGGCCCTCTCCCCTCCCCGGCGCGCTCCGCTCCCCCCCCCGCTCAGCTCCGCTCCACCTCGCCCGCGCGCCGCGCGCGCGTGCGCGAAGAGCCGCGCCGAGTGCTCCTCCTCCTCCGCTCCGCCCGCGTGCGTGCGCGTGAGCCGCCCGCGCCGAGCGAAGTCCTCCCTCTCCGCTCCCTCACTGCCACTTCCCGCGCGCCGTGTTCGCGTGCGCACGCCCGCGCGGACGCCGCCCGTTGCAAGCCGCACGCGCGTGCCGAGTGGCCGACCGCCCGGTCGCCGCCGCCGTTAGCCTCTTCACGCGTCTGTCGCCCGTGTCGTCGCGCCGCTCCAAACCGCCCGCCGTCATCGCTGTCGTCACCGCCCGGCCCCGCCACTCCGCGCGCAAGCCGCCAAGGGATGGAGGCAGCGCCCCTCCTCCCTCTGCCGCGTCGCCCCCGCTCCCCTCCTCCTTTTTCCCGAATCGGCAAAAGGGCAAGCCCCTTTCTCCCCCTCCTTTTTCCCCTTTTCCCCCCGCCGGCGTCATCCTCCCTGTCGCCGCTCTGGCCGCGACCGCCGAGTGCCAGCTCGCGCCTTGACCGCCCTAAGTCGGTTCCCAAACCGACATTGCCGCCCCCTTTAAACCCCAGCTCCTTCCCCTCCAATCTCCCTCGTTTTCGCCTCCTCGCCATAGCTGCCGCCCCCGTGCTCTGTTCGCCGTCGCCGTTCGTTGTTGCGCGTGTCGAAGGAGTCGGCACGAGTAAGGACGCGGAAGGGGACTTCGGCCGCGCCCTCTCCTTCCTCTTCCCCGGCCCGAGGCCGGAGAGATTACTCCCGCGCCGTCGGCCTCTCGTCACAGCGCCCCTCCTCATCTCGGTGATGCCTCCCTCTGTTCTTCCTCCTCGCTCCATCTCCTCCCCCTAGCTTTCGGTAGTAGCTCGAGTAGACTCCCCGTAGTTAGCCGGCGCCACCCCGACCGTTGTCGTCGCTCGCCGCGTGCTCGCCGCCGTCGCCGCTCGAGCTCCGTAGCACTCACACGTCACCAGCCTTGCTCGGCGTAGCTCCGTCCAATCCGACGCTAGCATCGAGTTCCCGAAACCGCGTAGATGCTCTCACCGCCGGGAATCGACCCCTCGTGGCCTCGCCGCCGTTTCCCTCTTCCCTCCCCGCCGGTTGTCGCCGCCGCGATTCGCCGCCGTCAAGCTTCCTCCGGCAAATCCGAGCCGTTGGCTCGTCTCCCCTCATCACGAGCAACCGCCCGGTGTGCTCGCTTTTGTCCGTATCGCCGTGGTTCGCTCCGCCGCTCGCTGCCGCTGCCCGCCGTCCATTCGCGGCCGGGTCGTCGTCTACCTCCCGCCGGCCCGCGTGGCAGCCACGTAGGCGCCACGTCGGCGCCAGCTCAGCCTAGACCGGGTCGAGCCGACCCCGGTCAGTCCCTCCCCGTGCGCGCGTTCCACCGCGAGCCGTGAGGCTGCGCGTGGGCCCGCCGCATCCGCATCCACCGCGAACCGCGCACGTGCACCGCGTCCCTCCCCCGCCCGCGCGCATGAGCCGCGTACTCCCTCCGCACGGTGAGCCAAGCCGCTGACAAGCGGGTCCCACCCGGGATCGCGCATGGTGAGCCCGGTCCACCGGCGCTCTCTCTCTCTTCCCTCCCGCGCGCGCGCACTTGGGCCGCCTTGGGCCGGCCGACCCATTTAACTCGGCCGGTCCGCTCCAATTCCCTTGGGCCGCGCCTTAGCCGCCCGAGGAAAAGTCTATAATCCCTCCCTCTTTTCTTTTCTTTTCTTTTCCAAAAAAGGATTTAATTAAATCCTTTTCTTTTTGACCAAAAAATCCAATAATCTTAGAAATTCAATATCTTCCTAACCTTAGATCCGTTTGACTCCGTTCAACTTCCAAAATTCCTCAAATCTCGAGATCTATCTAATGGCACGCTTAGAGGTCATTATTAGGGTTTCATTTTCGCCGTTTGTTGAGTTGTCCCGTTTCGCGTGTAGTTTCGGAGCCCGAAGACCCGCATTGCGAGGATTTCGAGGATCAAGCTCCAGATCTCGAGCAAGGCAAGCCACCTTTGAACATCTTGAGCCTATATTTGAAATCTAATTATATTGCTTGTAAAATATTATGCATTGATAGGATTGCACTTAATCTGTTGTTCCGTCTGCAAGGCAGATTGGCAGACCTACCTAACTTGTTGCATTTGATCCTTCCATTGTTAATTGCTATACTATGTCCCCTTGTAACCATCCAGTTGCGCCTCGATATTCGTGCACCCTGTGCCAGTATCGACGGTCGCCTTCAAACTTAAAATCTGAGTAATAACTTGGGTAAAACTGGAGTTTTACAAAAGACTTGGAAAACCCGACACCTGGGTCGGTGCTTGCGAACTAAATGAATTTCCAAAACCGCGGACCGGGAAACGTACCGGGTGTACGGTTTCCCGCTCTCGCACTTAAGGACCGATTCCTTGGAATTTCATCCAAACATAAGACAAGTACAACCACATGGGTGGAATGGGACACCCCTGGCTGAGTAACTAGCTTATCAGGGGAGCCTTGATGCCGAGAGACATGTGGATTCGCCGGGGTGGTGTCGGGGAGGACCCCTGGGCTTCCTGGCACAGTATGGTCTGGGAGCTAACCTGTTGTTGGTCTGGGACCCCTCTCGTCGGCGTATGGTAAACCTGTGTCGGCTTTGGAAATGCCTTGTCATGAAAGCTTGGAG